TGTTATTCACCTCCAGGATTGACTAAGAGATTGGCTGTCCACCCTGCTTTTCTCTGGTATGAGGTGTGTGTGGTGGGGGGAAGTGAGCAGAGCACTGTGGGATGCTGCAGGACTGGATAACGCCATCACCCTTCATAGAGCGAGCATACACACATAACTATAAGTGCTTTAAAATTAAGCACTTCCAAATAGTTATTGTTTGATCCAGGTTATTTTTTTGGAGCGGTGCAGCCATTTCTGGAGTACTTCACAGGGTGTGTTATCTGTCTGCTCACTCTCTGAAGTGCTTCAATTGTTATGTCCTGTCTAGGGCCAGCACTAAATCACCCTAACTTTGACACAGGATGAAGAAGGGCTAAAGCTAGAGCAATATCACCACACTGGTATCACTCAAGCTTATGCAGATGTATCAATAACAACTGCTGTGGGCTTCTAGGCAGCAGCCCTCCTCCGGTCTTTTAGTGACTACAAATGTACATTTGTCCATATGCTTATATAAAACCGAAAAATTACTTTTATGAATAGCTTTATTTACATAAAAGACAATTGTTAAAAAAGCTATATTTGAAACAAAAAACTATAATTAATTAAACTAATCTTGAGCTAGCAATTGTCACAACCCAGTGATTTTGGTGCCTCGGCACGATGGAATTTTCTTGCCACATGAGAGCCTCTTGCACAGCAAGGGTTTTCGCTGCACAGAAGAACCTTGGTGCAAGAGAGTTCCTGCCAATTTGCAGGGTGCATTTCTTTTGCATCACAGAAATGCACGGTGCAAAGAGTTCCCGCTATTCGAATGCAAATTTGTGTCCCGCTATTGGCTAGTTCTAAATTATTCCTATGTGGCGGCTAGTAATTGACTTGCTAGCCGTTTAAAATTTCGTGCGACTTCCGCCCAAGTCGAAGAACTTTGAGCACGCTGCAGAGTGCCTCTAAAGAGATCTGACTTGCGGCTAGCTGATTGCTAGACTGATCACCTATCGATCCTTCTTCCCATTGCCGAGCGCAATCCCAGACGTACCCTTTTCCCGCCGGCTTAAATTGCGGACGGATTAACTGGCTTGGGCCTCGCCAGCTGGAACAACTCACATAGTTGTTCAGACGACCGGACCATCTGCATCGCAACTACAAGCGGTGTAAGTAAAAGTTTTTGCAACCATTAAACCTTGTCTGCCTCTCCATTTACCAGCCCGCCCTAACGAACGAGCAATTTCTAAATCACCGTGAGTCGGCTCTGGCCGTCCGAGACAGCAATATATAATTTCTGCAATATGAAAATGTGCTTGCCAGGGCAAGGGGTGACGTGTGAAAGAACCCCCTCCCAGGCTCCTCTCTTTCTCTGCCCAAGCGTCTGTCAAAAAGTTGCTCGGCAACCAAATTGCTGCCTATGTGCCTTAGCCCAGGTAAGAGGGGGTGGATTTAGCTCTCTATTGTTCTGAGTTCTGACCTGGGGGCAGGGGCTTGAGCCCGTTACTCCACTAGGTAGAATGATGCTTTTCAAATTGACTGGCCAGCATGCAATAACACCTGCCCCTGACTGGGTCCAGGGGATGGTGTCAGGAAGGCTATTTAAGGGAATCTCTACAGGAAGAAGGAGGTCGGACATGTTGTGGAACTCAACAGACATATCTGGGGACATGAAGCCAGCACATGGCCTCTGGAGTTCTTCTACACTCCAGATAAACATGAGTAACTTACCCAAAATTTAGCCAGTAACAGTGTTCTAGATGTGTGTCAAAAGGCTACCAGGCTGGTTCTGTTTGCTCAGAGGTATTCTTTTGATACTTCTACAACTTGTACCTCTCCCCAAGTCTGCCCTCTCTACCTAATAAAGCTATCCTCTATAACAAACTTTGTGGTACATGCTTGAGGGACGGGGCACGCCTTTTATTCCTTTGGCTTGACTGGCTAAGGGAGGCTACTTTTGGTGCTTCAGGTTAAAGGAAACACCCCAAGAGTTCGCAGTGGGTTAAGTGCCCTCAAGGTCTACAAGGCCTGTGCACCCTGGGGACACAGGGCCCGAGCAAGGACCAGACCCCGGGTGGTGGTGGCAGTTACCCCAGGCTTGCAGGCATAGACAATGCATGCAATGCGTTGTGGGGGAAAGGGCACATGCCCCCCGTGAAATTGGCCCCCGCTGGCCGGGGAGAGGGGTGTGTCGGCTGGTGCCCACCCAAGAAGCGCCAATGTCACTTACAGCTACTGGGTTCAGCAATTGGCCACTAGGGACCTCCCCCCTGAGTTGGCAATTTTCCCTGGGGGACCCCTCCTCTCCATCAGCGATCAGCTGCTGGGGGACCCCCAGAGCCAGGAGGCACCAGTCGCCCATGCTTGCAGGTGTGGTCCAGAAAGGGGGTTGGCCAGTCGAAGGTGCCCCAGTGGAGACACTCAGAGCTTGGTAGTTGGCCAGGTGCAGTGAGGAGGGTGGCTCAGTGCAGGAGCGCCCCCTACTGGCCTGCCCCAGCATGCACATAGAGAATGAGTATTAAAAAAAGCAAAGCAGTGAAAAGAACTCACATTCTTCATCCACTCACCTTTACCGTTTCCTGTATGGTGCCTTAATTTTTTGTACTTTAGAAACCAAATCAGGGGGCCAATAATAGGTAAAGGACTACTTAATTTTGAGGTTCTGCAGAAACCGCAAAATTCAGGATTCTCCGCAGAAATCATAAAAAAACCCCTTAATAAAAACAAAAATTTTTGTTTTGCCAGGAGGGGAAGGCACCAGCTTCCAGGGGAAGGAGGGTTTTGTTTTGCCAGGTGGGGAAGGTAGGGCAGCACAAAGGCAAGATGGTGGCTTCTCCCCTCCTCGTCCCTTCTTTCCCTGCCAAAGACTCTCTGTCAATCACTGCTGAGGGACAGGGCTTCATAAACAGCAGCCAGCAATTAAGATGGCAGCTGCCCCCTTGTCCCTTCCCCCCCGCCTCCAGCCTCTATTTCAATCAGCACTGAGGGGTGGGGACTGCCATGAAACAACGGTGGAATTAAAACCCCTTATGCTGCGATCAACCCATGGAAATTAGTAAACCCCCCATGATTTAGGTAGACCTCTACCAATAGGGAACACACTATAGTTTACTGACTAGAATTCTTAACAACAGATTACCAAGGAAACTACTGGTTGCCTTAGTAACCTGTACACAATTGTTCATGTAATTTTCTTGTGGGACATAATTGTGCATGCATCAAGATCCAGAAGTATGTTAAATATGCAATGGAAACATAAGCACCACCAGACCTTACTAAATTTTAACTGGAGACAGGGTTATGCCACTTATACTGGAAAAGAACAGATACTTGGCAGGTGAGATTTCCACCCAAGTTGATTAATGGAGGGGGAAAAAAACCAAACTATTTAAATAGTGCTACTGTATTTGTTAAAAAGCTTTACTATAGCATCAGGGTTCTGTTCCTGTCACACAGTTGTGGCAACTTTTTTTTAAGAGGCTGAGACTCAGTTCTCTTTCCAACTCTCAAGGGATCTTCTGCACATTCTTGGTTAATTTATTTATTTGTTAGAAACCAGACTTAGGAAGTTGTAACTTCTAAGATCAATCATTTTTCCTTTCTGGAAAATTACTCCTGCATTTTTTCCATCTGTTTTCTTGGTACTTTTGACTTTTCAGTGGTTTAAATTTCATTAACTGATTTCCTGAGTAATCTAAGATAAGTGCCATCTGGATCACCATAGTATGGTCTTATCTTTCTTAATACTATCCATTAAAGAAGACACCCACACCAAATTTCTGCAGAAGACTGTGAGAGCCTGGAGATTACCTTAGAGGAAAATTTGAGATGAACTTCTGCTTCATCAGCCAGACTTTTCTTTAGTTGAGCCCAGGCCTCTCCAAGGGTGCTGAAAAAGACAACACAACACTGATCAATGCCCTGACTTCTGTCCTGTACACTCTCCCAGAATAATTCATAAAGCAACTTGCATTGCACATAGAAACAAAGAAACATAGGAAAAAAATCAGGCTGCAAAGGACCTCAGGAGATCATCCAGGAGTGCTCAACTTTTGGCCTACAGCACCATGATATCCAGCTTGAGGCGCTCCCCATGGGTCCAGAAATTTGGCAGTGGGGGAGCAGTGGCACTGCTCACCTGTTGCCAAATCTTCAAACTCATAATGTACCCTAAGCCTTGCACACTGGATAGTGACCAATCTCAATTCACTGGGAGGGTGCAGCACCAAGCCCCTGGGATCCAGTCCTGGTGCAAGGAGGGTAGGAAGGGGTAGTGCTGGGCCTCTGGGGCCCAATCCCAGTGCACAGAGGTCTGGAAGGGGCAGAGCCAGACCTCTGGGACCCAATCCCAGGGCAGGACAGGCAGGAGGAGATGGTGCTGGACCAAATAATGCAGGGGGCAGGAGATAAATACCAGGCCACTGGGACCCAATCCTGGTGCATGGGGCAGGGAGGGGGCAGTGCCAAAAGGTTGAACACCACCAATCTAGTCCAACTGTTACTCAGTGGTGTTGGACTACAGAATTGGCCATTTTTAAATTTAAGTTAGACAGACAATGATGAAGGTTCTGCAATCTCACCAGGTAATCTGCTCCAGTGCTTAATTACTTTCATAATTAGGAAGTTCTTTCTAATGTCCGAACTAAATCTGCTGGTTGCAATTTCTCCTCCATACTTTTTGTCTTATCCCCTGTGGACATAGAGAACAGCTGATCCCATCCTTTTTAGGACAATCCTTATTTTATTTGAGGACTGTTATCAAATCTACCCCCAGTCTTTTATTCTTCAGACTTAATAGTCCCTATTCTTCTAATGGTGTCATATTTTCTAGAACTCTGGCAGGTTCTGTTTCTCCCTTCTGGATTTGTTCCAAGTTCTCCACATCTTTCAAGGACAGTGCCCAAAACTGGACCTGTGTCTTCTTGCTGCTGTGGGTCATGTCCACCCTCTCAATGATACTGCAATGACCTCTGTATTTTCTCCTTTAAGCACAGATACCAGATCCTTCCAAGTGACAATGGTATTATCAGCAAATGAGTTGGCTCCAAACACTTGTTGCAAGCCCTCTGCAGATGTATGCTCAATACATCAGGACCTACCAAATTTGTCACTGTTTAATTTTCCTAGAACATGCAAAATTGGGTGGGCTCTGAGATTTTGGTAGGCTTGCAGCAAGGCCCTGCTCCACTCCACAAACTGAACAGCAAGCAGAGAAAAAGGCGAGAAGCCCTGAAGTCTTAGAGCTTGAGAGGTGGGGATGGGAAGCTCACAGACACTGCAGGCAGCTGCACTGTGGTCCTGGGCCAGCTCTGGCAGGCAGCCAGGTGGTTGCAGCGGGGTGTTCAGAGCCTCAGTCCAGCTCGTTCTGCGCATGCAGCCACATTGGGGCTCTGCAGACAGAATGCAGCCTCCCGGCTGCTTCCTACAACTGGCCCAGGACCAGGATTCACCAGGGGCAAGTCAAGCCTGACCAACCTGATTGCTTTCTATGATGAGATGACTGGTTCTTCCAACCCTGCTTTTCTATGACTCTATGGTGCAGCCTCTAGGCCTCCTGTTGTGAGCATCCCTACCCCACTCCCCCTCCTTCCCTGCTCCCTCCTCCCCCCTTCCCCCCATGCTCCAAGACTGCAGGGCTTCTCACCCTTTTCTCTAACTGCAGGTAAATTTTAGGGGTTATTTTGTTTTGTTTCGTTTTTTGCAGCGAGCCTGCCAAAGTCACGGAGCCCACCACTTGGAGATGGCCTGTAACCGCAGCTTAATTACCCTGATTAAACCTAGAGAAACCATTAATCCACGCTTAATAATCTGTAGATTAATGGCTTCTCTGGGCTTAATCAAGGTAAATAAGTTAGTTTTGGGCCATGAGGCAATCTGTGGGGAGCGGCAGGACTGCCGGGGCCCGGCTGATCCCCACCCCAGGCAGGAGGAGCAATGCCCAGCACAGCTCTCCTCCCGCCTCCAGCTACTGCTCAGGAGCCAGTCCAGGCAGTGTGGGAGGCAGCAGTGGTGCCTGACCACCTGGTGCATCATGTCGCTCCATCTCCCTGCCGGACTACCCCTTGGGCTGCAGCAGCGCCACTGATGGGAGTGGGGGGCAGCACAGCTATATCCCTGGACTTCTTAAAGTCCTTTTCCACAACTGGTCCTTTTCCTAGGATATTTGGGAGCATTACAGGATTGAGGGGCTCGGCTGGATTCCCTATAGAGGCCAAAAAAGAATTAACAGCTTTGTGTCCAGGAGCCTGAGGAACTCAATGAAAGCACATTCATTATTCCCAATATCTGGGGATACCTATACTCGTGCAGAGAGGCTGTTCCGATGTGCTGTAATTAGAATGCTCCAGCAGACTTCACTATCACGTGTATCAGAGTCCCTGTGCTGAAAAATGGCGGCTCATTCGATGAGCTTTAGTTAAAGTGCACTGCCGCCATTTTTCAGCATAGGGATGCTGATACATGACATGCTCCAGGTGCTTTAATTACAGCGGCTCTCAGAGCTGCTGTAATTAAAGCGCCCCCCACTCCTCTACCCTCTCCACCCCAAAAAACACAATGCAAGGCACAGAAGCTCCACTAGAAATCTGAAGCCAACCATATGGTTGGGAAACCAGGCCTCAGAAGTCCAAACTATGCTAAATTGTAGAATCATAGGCCATGTTCACTCATGCAGGCAAGTGCACTTGCAGCAGCTCAGGAGGCAGCATGCTGGAGCAGCAAGGGCACATGGCAGGCATACAGATGCTCTGGCCAGGTGCTAGAGTGTCTCCTTGGAGGACCCAGCTTCCGGTTGCCTCCTGGCACACTCCAGGAACGTGCCCTACACACAGCTTTTTTCCAGGGTGTTTTCTTTTGATACCAGGATTTCCTGGTATCAGACTTAGTCCATGCTACAAATATGCAGTGTGGGGAACATTTTTGTTCGTTTGTGGCGTGGCTTCTGTGGCATCTCAAACTGCTTTGAGACACCACAACAAGCATGTGCTCACTCATCTGGATGCCCACAGGTGTAGAAGGGACCCCCCAGAGTCATCTGGCCCAATTTCCTGCATGAATGCTGGAATACTGAAACCTGATGAATGCTTCTCTAGCCTCCTTCAAAAATCTCCCATGAAGGAGATTCTATAGCTTTTCTAGGCAGCATGTTCCATTGCCTCACAGTTCTAATGGTAAGGAAGAATTTTTCCTGGGATCTAACTTAAATAGATTTTGCTGAAATTTAAAACCATGCTTCATATTCTGCCCTCTGAAAAAGGGACAACATTGTTCGCTCTCTCTTTCATGGAAGCCTTTCAGGTTCTTGAAAACTGCTAATTACCATCCCCTGCTTAGTGTCCTTTCCTTCAAGGTAAGCATAACCAACTGTCAACCTTTCCTGATACAGCTTGCCTTCCAAACCGTTTATCATTTTGTTGTCTACCACCACTGAGTAGAATGGTACTATCACTTTCTGTCTTACACCTAAAGATCTTGTTAATGCAGCCCAAAATTACATTTAGTATTTCTGTGGCAACATCAGACATAAGTGAGAGATCCACTAAAACACAAGGTCCTTCACAGCATACTGTTACCGAAGCTAGTTATCTCCCGTTCTCTATTTGTCTACCTGTTCATTCTTCCCTGGCTGTAACAGCTTACATATCTGCACTGAACTTTATCCTATTGTCTCTAACCCAGCTCTGCAGTCTATCAAGGTCCTTTTAAAAATTGTAATCCTAAGTGTTTGCAGTTCTGCCCAATTTTGTATAATCTGTACATCTGAACAGGAAGCGCTCTATTCTGGCATCCATATAATTCATTAGCATGTTAAACAGTACAGGACCCTGGCACAGAATCCTGTGGAACCCCACTCAGTACCTCCTGACACTGATCCATTTATAATTGCCTTTTGTTTGTGGTTATTGAGCCAATTACTTACCCAACGGATAGGTAAATGTACCAAATCCACATATCTCTAAATTATTTATGAGAACATTATATGGGACTTTATCAAAAGCCTTCTCAGGTATTGGAGTTAGAATCTATAATACTGAATAGTCTATAATTCCCTGGGCCCTTCTTTTTTCTTTTTGTAAATATGGATGCTATATTACCCCTTTTTCAGTCATCTGGACCCTCACCCATCTCCCATGACTTTGGCAATATCACCAATGGCTCAAAGATCCTTTCTGCCAGCTCTTCTAGCACCTTGGGATGATATATCAGGTCATGCTGACTTAAATTTATTCAATTAATCAAAAGTTCTGTGATGTTCTCTTTGGTTCTCTTTGTCTATACAATTTAGTCATCCAGTTGTAAGGGGATTTTTTTTGTTTGTTTGTTTGTTTTTGTGAAAGCCTAGGCCAAATAGCCATTGAGCAGCTTCACCTTTGTATCTCCTGTTATCATCTTACCCTTCTAAGCATGGACCCACAGATTCTTTAGTTTTTCTTTTCTGTGCAACACAGTTACAGAAAGTACTGACACTAAGTGGACAGGCATAAACCTCAAGTATCCACATGTACAAGCCAATTTAGAATGGTTTAAAACTCCTGAAGGATTTTAAAAGTAAACCTGGATAATTGGGTATTATTTTGAACTGGTCCTTTCTTAATAGGTTCATTGTTATTTGCAGACATCAAACTTGTCCACAATTAGCGAGTAGCTGCCCCTCAGACATCCCACGCTATACTACACTTGTCACTCCCTCTCCTCCATTCCTTCCTCCCCTTCCCTGCATGACAATTGGCTACTTTGGTACACAACCAGAACTCCACTGCTCCAAAAGAGAAATTATGTATTAGCAACTGGATTTTTTTTGAGGCATATTATTGTCATACACATTCTTTCATGTAGGTGAGCTCAGCAAAAGCCCCACGATGGATACTTTTTTTCCGACCTTAATAATATCTGTACTAGGTTCCTTAATCTAGCCTCTCGTTTCCCAACTTGCTCCACCCAAACACATTGGGACGAAGGGCATATGCATTCCTTCTCCTGAGTTTCTTTTCCACTCTGGAGTTTTAAAGAGGCAGATTCCAAGGGAGAGGGGAAGGAGGGTGGGGTTCAAATGTGTGTATGAATAACATGCCATGAAAAACTTCAGTTACCGATACATAACTTCTCTCTCTCCTTTGAGCAGTTGTCTATTCACATGGATAATTCCAAAGCCAGGCCCACAAGACCCAGAGATAGGATGCAGAGTCTATCAGTCATGGACTGAATGATATGCTGATATCACCTCAGGAGGTCTCCACAATTAAAAGGTGCTTATAAACAGGCATGGGGACCTTCTAATGACCTTAGTTGTATAAATAAAAGAGCTCTCTTGCATCAACCATGTGGAGGCAGGATCCCAGCATAGGAAACTTGTGGTTTTAGGAAAAAGACTGACAAAAGGGATGACAAGGTCCAACGGTCACAAAGTCCTCCAAGACAGTTTTAGGGCTGAACATAAGGAAAAACGTCTTTACTGTCCGAGCCCCCAAGACCTGGAATAGACTCCCTTCAGAGGCGGTGCAAGCACCTACTATGGACTCCATTAAGAAGCGTTTGGACACTTATCTTGTTGGGATCCTTTGACCCTAGCTGACTTCCTGCCCTTGGGGCAGAAGGCTGGACTCGATGATCTCCTGAGGTCCCTTCCAGCCCTAATGGCTATGAAATCTATGAAAAAAATTGCTGGATGAAGTGAAACTTGGAATGTTTGGCAAAAATCTAAGGCAGGTACAGAAAGCCACCTTCTCTGGTTAGAACACCACATACAGCAAATCTGCCAGCAGGGCTTCAATCTAACTAACTTATGTTGTGGAAGAGATCGCCTACAAGAAGGCTGTCTTTAGAGCAAGATGTTAAAGCAAGTAGAATGCCATTGACTTGAAAGGATGGGGCAGAGGGGTTGGGGGGGAATGGGACAAGGTTCAGACCTTAATGAGGCCCTGCATTTTTCATAGATACGACTACCTTTGTCAGTCCTTTTAGAACCCTCTGTGACGAAGTAGGAGAACACTGGCTGACCCTTGACAGGGAGGAGGCGTACACATGGAGATAACCACCAGATTAATTGGACTGAAGAACAGGTCAAGAGCTCCTCAAGTCCACCCCTTAGTGTAGAATGTTTGGGACTGAAGGCCTTGATAGGAGGATACCCTGGGGTTGGCAAAACAAGGGGAATCTGGACAACTTCACAAAGGAGGTGTACTTCATGGAAGCCTTTCTGCTATGCATTAGGACACTCCTAAGAGGACTAGAACAGAGGCACTCTATCTGCAGGACCCATTTAGCATCCAGGCAGCAAGAAGGAATGAGTGAAGGTTTGGGTGGCATATTCTGTCATTGTCCTGAGAGAGAAGGTTGCGCTGCAGAAACAGGAGAACATAATCCTCACTAGGCTGGTGGTATCCAAGTGACTTGAGCCTAGTCCCGTTGAGCTTTTGGGAGTGTCAAGTAAATAAATTATTCAAAGTATGAGTAAAATTAAAAGATAATTTAAAATAAATGTTATTGTGAGAAAAAAAATGGAGAGTCCAAACTTGTTTTGGTTGCCTGCTATAACTTGTTAATCTTCTAATTTTCCATAAGTTAAAATAAATGAAATTAATCTCCCTCAGAGAAATCTGGAGAGCCTTAAGGCCTCATATTTCTCCTAGAAACACATGGCATACCATATATGTTAACTGTGCTCATATGTTAATGGTGATTAGGTACTGCAGCTGTGGCTGATTTTGTAGTATAATGTCATGAATTAACTAAAAGGGGAGATATTTGTTTTGTTTATTTTGTTTTATCACTGCTGGAAGTAAGAGTAAACCTGTGAAGCTGTAGTGTATTTTCAGAGGGAATTCACCATATGGGGTTTAGGGTATAGCTAAGAAGTGTCCCATAACTTGATTTTTGAAGATTTACATGAGGTACTGCTACACTTATATCACTTTAATCCCTTTTTAAATGTTTTTATATAGTAAATTATCACTGAAGAATTATAATCTAATTCCCATATGCCTTGCTTACTCCTAGCCACTTAGTATTTTCAGAGACAGTTCCTCTACCTAAGTGTTTTCTATAACATGCAAACAGATGGGTTAACTGAGAGAAATTAAAACATGCAAAAAAATAATGCTCTACAGAACAAGAGTCTCCTTCAGCCTTCCTATGCAAGGTATCTTTCATCCTTTCTCAAGGTCACAGAATCAGGTGCCGCCTTATTTGCTTTGCTTCCAGCCCCATATATCTTTCCCTTTATGCTGCTGCTTGGCTGTTCTTCAACAGCCCTACCTAACCAGTGACTTGGACCTCATACAGACGTTCGGTTTCTCCTGGGAAAGCAGCAACTCTCCCAAGAGAAACCACAAGTGTACAGATGTTCAACCTTTTTCTCCCAAAGTAAAAATGGCCACTCCAGGAGAAAAATAACCTGAGAATAAGTGGGGTTAAATCATTCCCAAGATAATTTCTCCTGGGAGACTGAATATGTACACATGCTATGGCTTCTCTCAGAAGAGAACGTAGTCCTCCAACATCCCCCCCGTCTCCCTGGAGCGTGTGTCACTCACTGGACTCTGCTGCTCTAGTAGGAAGCAGAACACATCACCTTCCCAATCCCCATATTGGACTGCAGGGAAACACAGGCTGACTATGGGCAGTTTGGGTCAGCCAATCAGGGCTACCCTATAGACTGTTATCATCTGTCACCAGGAAGACTAAGGGAGCCTCGAGAGCATGCTGAGATGTGTGCGCAGGGCCTCCACCCAGCTGCAAAGTGTCAGTACTGCAAGCTCTCCACTCTTTAGGGCCTCAGATTTGAATATCTGTACATATAGCTGTAGGTAATTTTCTCTACCAAGAAAACAAACCTGGAAGAATTCCCTCGATTATTTGAATGTGTGTACTTAGTCAGAATGATTAGAGCACTGGCCTAGGAAGTAAGATATGTAAGTTCCAGATACTTCAAGATGAACTGAGCCAAGAACACAGGTTTCCTACCTCCTGGGCAAAGGTCTTGAATATTAAATAAAAGTTTGTCTCTCCCTCGTGAATTCTTGAACACTTCTTAAAAACTCCCTGACTTCATCATCAGCATGGAATAAACTTTCAAAATGATTCAATCCACCAATGATAGAATAAAGATACAAACTAAATGGAACACTATTAAGAGGAAGGTTTCAGGAGAAGCATGTGCTTAAGTAGGAGAAAGTCTTCTGTGCTAGGAATCCTCCTTGGCTTCAAGAGCAGTATTATCAGACTTACCCTTCTTCCTGAGCAGCCAAAGAGTTCTGAGAGAGTTTTGACAAATTCTTGGCATATTCCTCTTCAATCTTTATTCTACAAGGAAAAAAAAAGACACAGTAAAATTGTAGTTAAGTAAAATAAATCCCACAAGGCAAAGTCAATCATTGCATTTCCAGTAGCCCCATTAGGAGTGCTCGTTTTTAGGTCCTATATAATTATCCTGTGGGATTCTCATTGCAAAATATTGTTGATTTAAAAGTCTAGGGCCAGATTCTACTCCCCATATCAGGTATCTAAGTAGATTTAGTTCTGTTTGAGTCACTAACAATCTACCAATTTATTTATTTTTGTAACATGCTGTTGTCTTAGACTTACAACTAAAGCCATAAAATAGCAGCAAGGAGGAAGAGGACCAACCCAATTTTTGTATTCAGTATTTTGGGGATTTGAGCAGGGTGGAAAGAGACTGCACATAGGTGCACAACAGGTGGAGTAAGATTTGGCTGTTGGTGTGATTCAAAAAGAATTAACACTTTTAACTAGTATACCAGTAAGTTAATCAGCAGATCTTAAAAAGCAATTGTTAATAGGAAATTCCTCCTCTTTGGATCAACTGTTCAGTATCTTTATCAAGTACCTAGAAGAAAATCTATAATATAAAAATGAGACATGACAATATCATTGGTAAGTGGTAAATATGGATGGGGACAGGTGATATGGACTGAGTATTAAATTGTACTCATTTTAACAAAATGCTTTTTAATATAGAGTTAAATGCAAGGACACAAAAGATCTATGTAGGAAGGTTACACTTATAGAATGAGAGACTCTGTCCCAGAATGAAGCAACACTGAAAATGACATATGTGTAGTATATCAGTTCAACATGAGCTGTCAACATATTTTGAACTCTATTTTTAGCAGATGAAGACCTGAGTGGGAATTACAGTGTAAGAGCAGAAGCCACCCTCTAGTTAGGTATCTTAAGAACACAGCCCAATCTGGGCAGAACAACAGGGGCAAAACCTCTACTAGGCTGGGAAAGCTCCTTCTCCTGGGTCTTAGTGGGAACCTGAATGCTGTGGTTCTATTCGCTGAAGAAGGGGTTTGGTGTGAACTATCTAGTATGATCCTTTCTGGAGGGACCTTCTTGAAAGCTCAGGTTGGCTGGTACACTGCTCTGGGAAAAGAGTGTTGTTCTGTCCACAACTGCCCACTGCGTAGCAATTCAGTCCCTACTTGCTTTGTGCTGCAGTTTGAACAAAAGAAAGAAAACAATTCCTTCCATTTATATCACTGCACATGGCTTGATATTGTAAACTGCTGAGCCTTCCAGTATGATTCATAGATTCATAGATGTTAGAGTTGGAAGGGACCTCAATAGAACATCGAGTCCGACCCCCTGCATAGGCAGGAAAGAGTGCTGGGATCAGATGACTCCAGCCAGATGCACATCTAACCTCCTCTTGAAGACCCCCAGGGTAGGGGAGAGCACCACCTCCCTTGGGAGCCCGTTCCAGACCCTGGCCACTCTAACTGTGAAGAAGTTCTTCCTAATGTCCAGTCTAAATCTGGTCTCTGCTAGTTTGTGGCCTTTATTTCTTGTAACCCCCGGGGGCACCTTGGTGAATAAAAGCTCACCAATTCCCTTCCGTGCCCCCGTGATGAACTTATAGGCAGCCACAAGGTCGCCTCTCAACCTTCTCTTGCAGAAGCTGAAGAGGTCCAGGTGCCCCAGTCTATCCTCATAGGGCTTGGCCTGCAAGCCCTTAACCATATGAGTGGCCCTTCTCTGGACCCTCTCCAGGTTATCCACATCCCTCTTGAAGTGTGGCACCCAAAACTGTACGCAGTATTCCAACTGCGGTCTGACCAGCGCCCGATAGAGGGGAAGTATCACCTCCTTGGATCTATTTGTCATGCATTTGCTGATGCACGATAAAGTGCCATTAGCTTTTCTGATGGCTTCGTCACACTGCCGACTCATGTTCATCTTGGAGTCCACTAGGACTCCAAGATCCCTTTCCGCTTCCGTGTCACCAAGCAGGTCATTTCCTAGGCAGTAGGTATGCTGGACATTTTTCCTCCCTAGGTGCAGCACTTTGCATTTCTCCTTGTTGAATTGCATTCTGTTGTTTTCTGCCCATTTGTCCAACCTGTCCAGGTCTGCTTGTAGCTGTTCCCTGCCCTCCGGCGTGTCCACTTCTCCCCACCAAGCAAACATTTTGCTTTTAGGTCAGTGCTTAACAATTCACAGGACTATGCCCTAAAATTGTACAGATAAAGACCCCAGAACAAATCAGTTGTCTCTACAGGATGACTACATACTTCACTCAGCATTACTGGCCTCCCCTCCCTCCCCGCCATTACAGGAGAATACAAGTGGCTGGTTCATTCTTAGTGCTTCAAGAAGTTGCAACTATACAGACACAACATTCAGGGATGAGAAAATCTGCTAAATCTTCTAGTTTCTCATGGGCCAGTGTAACTTTTGTCCTACACAACATACGCTAGTTATGAAAGCTTCAGTGTGAATAACTTCTGAATATTAACATAGCCATACCAAACATTACAGGTAGTACAGTAAAAGCCAGATACTTTGCAGAGGATCTTACTTTCTTTGAAGATGAGGGTTTGCAAATTAGCTAGGGACACATATAGCCACATCAAAGAACTGTGCAGGATGACCAAAGCATGTCACATGTTTTCTACAGCTTTTACTTTAAAGGATGGCACTTCTCTGATCAGCTTCATGGAACCACTACCTACAGCTGATCAGAAAAATGGAGCCCTTTGAAGTAGAAGCTGTAGCAAAGACGAGCATCTTGTCTTTAATTTGGTAACTTGCTGCAAACTAAGTGGTCTGTGAACCACCTGCACATGAATGATCGGGGTTCTGTTGTAATTATGCCACACCATGCTTTGTACACACACAGGCTCATCTGCTCATCTGTCAACACTTGTAATAATGCACCACATACCACTCTGACTTTCTTGCTATGAATAAAACTATGGATGGTTTAACAGGTCTCTGCTATTGTCTCACTGCGATGCTTGCCTGCATAACCCCTCCTTGTATGTGCCAGAGACCTGATTACATAATTTACTTGTTTAACCTATATATGTGAGAAAGCTTCCACTCCTCCTCCTGGAAAATTGTTCCATAGCCTGATAAATCTGTTTTCTTTGTATTTTTTCTGAATGTCATCTCATTGTGTTCTTTTTGGTTTTTTGGTTTTTTTGCTGCTCACAGTCAGAGAGAAGCAGGATTGGAAGGGACCTCAGCAGGTCATCTAGTCCACAGATGCTCAACCTCTGGCCTGCAGGCCAAATGCAGCATGTAGACCCACTGCATCTGGCCTGCAGGGCTCCCCATGGATCAGGAACTTTGGCAGCGGAGGAGCAGTGGCCGTTAATATTGCCACCCTCCCCCCTGCTAAATCCCCAAGCCCCATTCCTTTTATGGCTGGTCAGAGCCACACTACATTCTCTTCCCCTTCAGGGCTGGGCTATACCCCCCTCCCTGCTTCTGGATAGGGGCCAGGTCATGCCCCATTCCCTCTCTGTAGGGCCAGGTTCAGGCCTGGCCATGCCCCTTTCTCTTTAGGGCTGGGCCATGCCCCCTTCCCTCCCCATGTGGCTGGGTCAAGCTCCTTTTCCCTTTTGGGGCTATGTTGGGGCTGGCCTGCACCTCCCTCCTCCATTATAGCCAGATGGTGCCTGATATGCCCACGCAGGTGCTGGATCAGGAGCACCAGCTGAATTCAGCCCATGAATGAACCGGACACTGCCAATCCAACTCATTGGGCAAACAGATTGGACACCACTGATCTAGTCCACCCCACTGCCTGACGCAAGATTATCCCTATCCAAACTGTCCTATACAAATCCACTGTCTAACCTCTTAGCAAAACTACACAGTTGCGTTTCAAACGTTGCATTTCAATACGGACAAGTGCAGGGTGCTGCACTTGGGCAGTAGTAACCGGCAGCACACTTATAAGATGAGAAACTCCCTTCTTGAGAGCACGGAGGCAGAAAGGGATCTTGGAGTCATCACTGACTCCAAGATGAACATGGGCCGACAATGTGAGGTCACGGTCGGCAGGGCTAACCGGACCCTATCGTGCATCCACAGGTGCATCTTGAGTAGGGCCAAGGAGGTGATCCTCCCCCTCTATGTGACACTGGTCAGGCCACAGCTGGAGTACTGTGTCCAGTTCTGGGCGCCCCACTTCAAGAGGGATGTGGACAACATTGAGAGGGTCCAGAGGGGGGCCACCTGCATGATCTGGGGACAGCAGGGCAGACCCTACAATAAGAGGCTACGGGACCTGAACCTGTTCAGCCTTCACAAGAGAAGGCTGAGGGGGGACCTGGTGACCATCTATAAACTCACTAGGGGGGACCAGAAGGGTTTGGAGGAGACCTTGTTTCCCCTAGCGCCCCACGGGATAACAAGAAATGACGGCCACAAGTTGTTGGAGAGTACGTTCAGATTAGACATCCGTAGGAACTACTTCACAGTGAGGGCGGCTAGGATCTGGAACCAACTTCCAAGGGAAGTGGTGCTGGCTCCTACTCTGGGGTCTTTATGAAGCAGCTCAATGCCTACATGGCTGGGGTCCCTTGAGCCCAGTTTCTCTCCTGCCCAGGCAGGGGGGCGGACTTGAAGATCTACAAGGTCCCTTCCGACCCTACTTCTATGATTCTATGACAGTCAACCGTGACAAAACCACAAGAGGTGACACCCTAACCTGTACAGGTAAAGCCAGGGGACCACAGTGCTCAAAGTTGTGCTGCTGCAGGGTTGTTAAAACGCGCTTGAGAGATCCCAGGAAGAGGGCTACTCCCCTGCTACAGAGGACGGAAAAAAACTCTACAGTCCATACCAATCTGACCACGGAGTAGAATTTCTTCCTGACCCCAAATATGGTGATTGGTCTGACCCCGAGCAGAGGGGAAGACCCTCTAACCAGAAACCTCTACCTTTAAGCTCCAGCAGGAGCACTGGTATATGCTAGTCAAAATTCTCAGCCTTGGGTGCAGCCAACACTCAATGCTGCTTAAACACAAATGAACTCTGACATATGTGGCAGCAGGCGTGGGGGTGGCATTCCCTCCCAGCTCCATGAGGCAACCAGCAGTGCCCAGAAGCATGGGAAATACCCATAGCAGAATGAAGGCATAGCTATGCCCAGTTCATCCCCGACCAGTGACATCCCTAGGCAATCTATTCCACTGCCTCATTGGTCCAACAATGAAGAACGTTTCCTTTCAATATAAGTAAATTGGTTCTGTGCATATTATTCAATTTCTCCTCCTGGAAGAATGACATGAGCACAGACAGAAGTTGTATTTGCCACGTGATCACAACAAAAGTGCTTTACAGCCATGCCACGATGGCTGCAGATTGCTTTAAAAAGGGCCAATCGTGCGACAAATTGACCCTTGCCAAATGAAGGATCAGATGAAGATGCTCCATTTTGAAGGACCTATAGGAGCTTCTGTTCCCTAGGGTCAATCTGTTGCACAATCAGGGCTGGGCTCGTCCAGCCCAACCCCACCCCTGGTGCTGTTTGCAGCAAGGGATAAGGGCAGAGGGAAGGAACAAGCTGCCCAGCCTGAGCTGGAGCGGGGCGGGGGGGGTGGAGTGGAACTTCCCCATTGCCTTGTGGCTCCCCACTTAGTACCCCCACCCCAGCCTAGGCTGGGCAAGCCCCAGCCCGCAGCCCATTCCCCCCTCCTACAGACAGCACTGAAGCTGGGGGGAGGGAGGGAAGGCTAGGGGAGAGAGCCTGCAGGCAGGCTCCTTGGGCTGGATCAGCTCCAAAGAGAAGTTTAATTCCCACCCCCAAAGGGAAACATTTGTTTGGGGGGGCAAGGGGGGGGAATGCTGTACCTCGAGGCACTTTATGTAAAGTGCCATGTGTTAGAGTAGCGGCTGAACATCTATCAGCACCCCTTGACTAGGCTATAGGTGAGGGTAAGCAGGTCCCTTAGTTTGCTGGCTTTTGCCAGTGCTGTAAAGCAAAGTTCTGTTTTTAAATAAACAAACGGACAGACAAACAACACAAAATCCCTCTCTCCTGTTCAAGACACTAGGAAGACAGCCCCTTTTTTTCCTCTGGCCCCAGCACAGCAGCCTGGCTCCTCCTTGTAGCAAGTAGCTTCCTCCTTGTTTTGCCTACTCTCCTGGGAGTGTTTAAAGTTCCCAGTGGGGCACTCTCTACCTGTGCAAATGGCTCACAGCTAGGATTTTTTTTTGTGGCTGTTCCACCAACAGCCAAAAAAACAGTTACAGGGCAGTTTACTCCCTTAAAACTGTTACTTCTTAACAGTTACAGGGTAGTTCCTCCCTTAAAGGGAGGAACTGCCCTGTAACTGTTAAGAAGTGAGACCCTTACCAGTGAAGGCTGTGGTAACTGTGTCTAGGGAAGTCTGGAGACTCCAGATGACTTAACAAAATAGTGCGTGTGTTTTAATAAAAGATGAATAAATGCCATAATACAGGCTATGCGCTTGCCTAATAGAAATAATAAACAAACAAACAAACAAATAAATAAATAAATAGTAACTGCTGGAAATAATCAACATAAGAGCTAGCTGCTAATTACCTTTCTCGAATGAACTCTGCCATTTCTTTCTGCATTTGTTTCCCCTTAAGTTGCTTTTGAAGAAGAATTTCAAACCCTGGAACAGTGTTGTTCCCTTGTGAATCCTTTTTATCAGCCTGGAATGGAAACAAAATTTAGGATGTGATGAACACATGAAATGTCAGCAATTGTTGAACAATAATTTCAATTCTAAATATGTCAACATGCAGTAATGCTGACAATGCCAAGCAATGCATGGTTCTGAGTAAATGATTTCTTTTGCATGTGATTCCTTCTAGGATCTGCATGGATGATCAGAACATTTTGAAATCTCTCTCAAGTGACAGTTGAATGAAACTGTCCCCCCCCTTACTTGTAAGATGACAATAGTAATCACTGTGCAACAGCTGTTTTTCCATATGGAAAAAAGTACCTCATTTTACAGACCATCTCTTAGTACAATTCATTCATTCATTCTTTAAATAATGTATATTTATTATTTGTTCACTTTATCTCTAAGCTAACTGCACTGCCTTCAGAGTAGTTGCACCACGGGGGAAATACAGCCATCTTTCTCTTAGGGAACAGACAGACCATTGTGTAGAGGTTCTAGTGCCTTAAAAGCACTACATAAAATGAAACAATGAAAGATGCACCATGCTACAATGTTACAAATTGCCCCAAACTTTATGAAAATTGCCCTCACTGAAGCAGAAACAATTATGAAGTACTTTACTGTAAGTGTAATAGCGTTGGTCAGCCTACAGTGCTTTGCTTCCCACCCTTTCCTCCCACTTCCTTAAGATGACCCCACTGAATCATACCTAACTCTTCTGCCTTGGGATCACAAGCACTGTCACCCAGCAAATGAACATTTTATATCACAGAATGCCTGTATCTGCACAACTCTCTGGTAACTGGAGGCAACAAAAGATTCTAGACCTCCTTTTCATCTGGGATGTGGAGAACACTCAGAAGATCCTTGGTAAGAGCTATCAAAACCAAGCCAAAAAACAAATGCATCACAGCAGAGATGGCACCATGTGAGGACAATTTGGGCTGGCATCAGTGCTGGACCAACACAAAGATCCTGAAGGCACAGTACACTATAAAGAGTTTGTGATGCCATCTGAGCTTCAGGTGCCTATTGGGCAACATACATTTACTATGAGGTCCTCTCTCAGATCATCATGGGTGACAACTCCATCGACCCCTGCTTCGTTGGTGACCGAGAGCTAGCCAATGACAATGATGACATAGAGCAGAAGGATCGTGCAGAGTTCCTCGTCTTATCTGAGACACCTTGGATAGCACTAACATGACAACAACCAGCTTACCATCCTGCCTTCATCCCACCCAACCATTCTGGCATCATCCCCCACTACCTTGCTGCATTCTCAGGACCTAGGGCTTTCAGAGAAACTTGCACAGTTAGGCACTGAAGTTGCTGGTGAGCAGCAGTGCACCTACACTCTGATGACATCCTTGATTCTGTTACCTGCTTCCCTCAAAATAGCTACAAGTAACCAGAGACTTGCTTTGTGCCATGTCTGGCATATGACTAGTTCAGCAAATGTCCACTTGCTGGTCCATGGTATTAGATTACTCAGAGTGGTGGGAGATGGAGTCTGGAGTCCAAACCATTTTGAAAGGGGGTTCCAGTAGTAGACTTGGGGCTGAGATATCCACAGGCAGTCTCTGGGATAGCCAGGGGACCTTAGTGGGTGAGGATGCTGCCATCACCTAGGACACTCAGAAAGCAGAGTGCTAACAGATCCTATGGCAGTCTGCTATACTGGGGCTTGATTGTGGGTTTCACATCAGGCATTGGGGGTGGCATCTCTTCCACTCATCCAGTTTATGCCTTGTAGGGAGTTGTGCACATTTTGTCCTTTCAGGAAAGAATAATGGTGACCACTTAGGAAACTTCTCTTGGGCCACTAGGAGACTGTTGTTTTGGGGTGTCAGTCTCTATTGACTTTCTGGAATGAGCTTATCAGCACCCACGTAGAGTGTGCCTCTTACCCCTCCTCCCCATTGTTCCTGGGAGGGTCTACTACTCCCACACCAGCTTCCTGAAGTCCCTACATACAAGGTGCCCCTGCCAAAGCTTAGACTCCCAATACTCTCCAATCTACTTGTACCCTCTAAAAGGTCTCTCTGTGGAAGCTAGAAAGCTCCACTACTGCAAGGCTGCTGTTATCAGAGAAGCTCAGGGAGCCCTCCTCTTACAGTGTACAAATTGTAAATATCTCAGAGGAAGTTAACTTCAAGGGGAAGATAAATGAGTGAACAGATAATAGGTTTTAACTGTGTACTCTGAAGAGTGAAAATCACCCTGTCCATTACATTCACTCACTTTTTACATGAAGCTCTGGCAGTCAAGGAAGGTAGGTGGAAGGAGTGAATCTACGGTTCTGTGCAAATGCTGTTCTACCTGTTTGGCTGTGGGTAATTTTTATTAGAACATATGAACTGCCATTTACTGGGTCAGACCATAGGTCCATCAAGCTCCTTATCCTGTCTCACACGTAGCATTCTGCATTTTTAGTTTTTACTGAATGTTACCAATAGATACCTTATATTTTTATTGAAGTTATTTGGGTTTTACTGATTTATACCCATTTTTCACATGCTCCCCATGCCTCCTGGGACCCATTAAGCGGTGGGAGCCTCCCTCCGCACCCCCTGGACGAGCCACAGCTCTGTCCTGCAGCCCACCCTGGCTGGGCAGTGCCTGGCAGGGTGGGCGCGAGGGTGCCGGGGGCTCTTTCCCCTCCAGCCCAACAGCACAGCCGAGACTGGCCCTGCCCTGCCCCTGCCCCCGCCCCCTCCCCTTGGTCATGGCCCCCTGGGAGGTGTAGAGCCAGTGTGGGGAGGCAGCCAGGGCCAGTGCCGGGCTGGGAGGCGGCAGGGTCCCCTCTCCCACTTTTCCCTCCGCAGACTTTCCTGCCCAAGGGGAAGTGGGGGAGCATATGTACACGTGCGCACATGCACTCAGCCCCGCCCCCCTCATTATTTTCCCCGATTTAAACCAATTGTTTTCCTTTTCTTCCAATTTCAACCCAGTTTTTATGTTTGGAAAATAAACCCTGAAAAATCCTGATTTTTATTTATTTATTTATTTATTTTAATAAAAACCAAAAATGCAGAACATTACAGTCACATAGCAAAAGACAGCAAATGCTGAGGGGGAGGGTGTACAGGACATGTCCAGACTTTTCCACTCCCTGCTCCTCTTCCATTGCAGCTTCCAGCAGTCAGAGGTTTAAGAAGTTCCAATTCAGAAGCTGTGCTCCTACTTACCACATACAATACCTACTAATGGACCTTTCCCCAAAATATTGATCCAATTCCTTTCTGAACTGGGTTAAGCTACCAGCCTCCACAATTTCTTATGGCAATGAGTTTCACAAGTGAATTACTTGCTGTGTGAAAAAACTTTTGTTTTAAACATGCTACCAAATAGTTTCATTTTATGCTCCCTAGTTTTAGTATTGCAAGAGAATGTAAATAATAAACCCTTATTTACTTTCTCTGCAGAATTTAATATTTTATAAACCATTATCATGTGCCCCCTCTCCCAATCTGTCAGAAGAAGGTACTCAAGATTCTTCAGAAGGAATTCATGCTGCCTTACTCGGACTCTGAAAGCCAATCCCAATCCCTCTGAGATGTCACTAGAACTTGCTTGGCCTTCCAGAAGGTAAGGTTACCAAGGTGCACTACTTCTTCTAGCAGTACGAGAACATCCCTCACCCTGTCTTTCACCCAACCCAACCATACACCACACTATAAGAACCCAGAGTTCTCCCTATACCCTTCTCCACTATAAGAACCCAGAGTTCTTTCACCAGCATGGATGGGAGCTCTACAGCAATATCCTTCCAACACAACTTGAGGACATGGGGACAGGAACAGCTCTTCTTGAACTCAGAGACTCCGACAGTAGATGGCTCAAGCTCTGGCCCAAAAGCAGCTGGGGAAACCCTAGCCGGGGGAAGGAGATAGCCTGCTGGGGAATGGACTGACAGAGCCAAGCAGAACAGAGCAGAATAGGCATGCCAGAAGATGGAGGCAGCAAAGAGACTGCAAAAGGGAGAAGTATCCATGAGTCTTAAAGGGGCCATGCCCTTTTGAGCTTAGTTTGAGTTTTTCTTCTCTCAGTTTAGGTTTTTTCTCTCCTCCTTCCTTCCCAGACTGTGTTGCTGAAGGAAAAGGAGAGAGGGACTATAGCCAGCCTGCCCTAGCATTGGGCATTTTAGGCAAAATCTGTCCCGAGGGGGGTGTTGGTCTTGACCAAGGAGGTCTGGGTCCAGAGCTACAGCTGGGACTTGAATGTGGGAGACTGAGGATTCACAGGACTGTACAAATTAGACAGCCATGAACAGTTTGATGGACACATTGAGGACTGAAGCAATTTAGGCTTAGTTCAGTTTTGGACTTGTGGTCCTTCTTTTTTGAGAAGAACTTTTGGTTGAAGCCAACTAGCCTGAGCAGAAGCGTGAATTGATTTGAGATTAAGAGTAAGAGTAACAAAAAGACATTCTTTAAGTACATAGAGAGCAAGAAGGCGGTGCAGGGTAACATAGGACGGCTACAGAATGAACTTGGGCAACTCGTAACAGATAAGATGGATAAAGCAGAGCTCTTAAATGATTTCTTTGCACCTGTGTTCCTGGACACAGATACAAACACAGCTCCCAAAGAGACTTTAGTCTGGCGTGAGAGAAATACCAATCCACCAACGGTTAGCACTGACCAAGTGAAGGGGTACTTGGAGGGGTTGGACATATTTAAGTGGGCAGGCCCCGATGATCTTCACCCAAGGGTACTAAAGGAATTGGCCAGCATCTTAGTGAAACCACTGAGCACTTGTGGCTTTCAAGACAGGTCCCAGAAGACTGGAAAAGGGTCAGTGATGTCCCTATTTTCAAGAAGGGGAGGAAGGAGGACCTAGGTAATTATAGGCCGGTTAGCCTCACCTCTGTTCTTGGCAAGATCTTAGAAAACATCATAAAGGATCACATGGGGGGGGGGGGGGGGGGCAGTGGGTAATACAATGTTAAGGGGCAACCAGCATGGGTTTGTAGCAGGCAGATCCTGCCCAACTAACTTGGTCTCTTTTTATGACCAGGTCACAAAGTGCTTAGATGCAGGAGTAGAGATAGATGTCATTTACTTGGATTTTAAAAAGACTTTTGAGAAAGCATCACACCCAATTCTCACAAGCAAACTGAGTAGCTGTGATGTGGATTTTTTCACAGTAAGGTGGGTGAAAAGCTGTCTTATGGGACGCACCCAGAGAGTGGTGGTGGACAGGTCGTTTTCCTCCTGGAAAGATGTGGGCAGTGGTGTCCCCCAGGGCTCTGTCCTTGGACCAGTACTGTTCAATATCTTCATCAGTGATTTGGATGAGGGTGTTGAAAGCACTCTGTCCAAATTCGCAGACAACACCAAACTATGGGGTATAGTAAACACACTGGAGGGCAGGGAGTGAATTCAGGTGGATTTGGATAGGTTGGGGAAGTGGGCGGATCAGAATAGGATGCAATTTAACAAGTGCAAGGTGCTACACCTGGGGAGAAAGAATCTCCAATACACCTATAGACTGGGGGGTACCATTCTGAATACCACGACAGGGGAAAGGGATCTCAGAGTCAGGGGAAGATCTCAGGAAGAGGGGCACTTTAATTAGAGCAGCTCTCAGGATTCATTCGAACTAAAATGCCCACAGCGTTTCATGTATTCAACATCCCCAAGCTTCAAAATGGCAGTGGATGTGCTTTAACTAAAGCTCTTCTGCCACCATTTTGAAGCGCAGGGACATTGAATACACGTAATGCTGAGGCTGCTGAAGCATGCTAATTAGCACACTCCAGCAGACTCAATTAATTTGCCAATTAGCATGCGTCAGAGCAGGCATTGGGCACGTGTATAAGTGCCCCAAATCTCCATTGTGGCCTGGCACCAAAATATCCAGGTAGGACTTCATGAGCCATAGGAGGAGTGGGCAAGCTGCTCCAGAGGGCAAACAATCACCTCTCACAGTTCTATGCCAGAAGCATTGCAGGCAAATACTCCCAACATCAGGGGCTCCAGGATGCAGTTCATGAAGACCCTGGGATCATGAACATTGCCCAATCATCTGGCATCAGTGGTGTGACCTGTCCATGATGGTCCACGGTACCCTGTAACATGATGCAGAAGTACCCCTTGCAGTTGATGTACTCTAAGATACAGTATACTAGTTATAGGATGAGAACATGTATTCAAATCAATGGCTGTGATGTAGTTCAGAAACTCAACATGACTTCCTGAAGGTTGCAGAGGCAGAGGAACTACAGAACTCACATTTTCCAAGTGGTGTGGAACCCCTCGTGTTTGGCCAATCCAGATGTGGACTTGTGCAAGCTGAAGTGGTTGGTGACCACTTTGGAAGCTATTGGGAACTCCAATCTTCCAGATGGCAATTCTCATGTACTTCTCCCAGTACACTGGCACCCTCATGTCAGTTGTTTACTTCTGAAGTGACAGGGCCAGCTTGCTGCATTTTGTGGAATATGACCTTGCTCATCATCCTAGATCCTCAGGATTACCCATTCCCACCAACTGCTCCATGTATTTCGGGCCCAGAAACAGTGGCTTATGATTTGTAGGTGGTTCTAGAGAAGGCCATCCTCCATCAAGTCCCTCGTTACTTCCTCCTCAGACACACTATTCTCAAGGTGAAGTTACACATTACACTTAGACCATACTAATGGCAGTTAAAACATTAGTGTCCTCATGTTGAAACTCTTTAACTCATACTAAGTGCATTCTGAGTGTCTCAAAGTCACACCACCTCTTTCTTGAACTCCTTCATATCTCTTCTTAGAGCAGGGGTGGGCAAAATACAGCTCGCGCACCGGATTCGGCCCACGAGGCCATTCTATCTGGCCCGCGGGGAACCTAAAAAATTTAGAAAATTAATATTTACCTGCCCTTGCTTCCTGTCAAAAATGACAGGAACCAAAGGCAGTAGGACCCAGAGGAAGCCCGGCGGGCTCCCACAACAGCAGGGCCTGCCCGGTCCCACCAGTCAGCCAGAAGTCCCACCAGGGGCTTCTGGCCTGGGAGCACGTGGCTGCTCCATGCCAGAATTGCAGGTAAGGGGGAAGGGGAGGGCGGGGAGGACTCCAGGCAAGGAAGGAGTCCGGGGAAAAGCTGAGCACGGGGCGGGGGAGGGAGGGAAAGCAGCTCCTCACCCTTCCTGTAGCTGGCGCCCACTGCTGAAGCTAAGAGGTCGCTTTCCCCCCCCTGTGCTCAGCACCTCCTTGTAACCCAGTCCCGCTGCCAGCCTGGGCCCTGCTGGTTCCAGGCTCGCCCATCGGGGCTGCGTGTGGCGACAGCAGCTGTGGCCCCCCTGCTTGCTGCACTGGGCAGTGTTTGCCACCGCTGCCTCTGTGCTGCCCAGTGTGTGAGCTCCGGGCAGGCAGCAGTAGCAGGAAACCCTACCCACAGCTGCTGCCGTTGATGGGCAAGCCTGGAGCCAGCGTGGGGCCAAGTTACAAGCTGGTGCTAGGTGCAGGGAAAAGCGGCCCCTCGCTCGCCCCGTGGCCAGCGCCCCATGCTGTAGCTGCTTGCAGCCTGCATGGGGCTGCCTGTGCCTGCTCCAGACAGCCCCGCCTGGGCTGCGAGCACCTGCAGCAGGGAGCGCCTGCCACGGGGCTGGCGGGGGGCCACCTTTCCCTGCACTCAGAATCAGCTTCTTCCCTGCCAGCGTGCAGGGGGTCAGGGCTGTGCAATGCCCCCCACCTGTACCGCAGGGCTGGGGGCCATTGGGAGTGAGCAGGTGCGGGAGCCAGCGGGAGCACAGGGCCCTCACCCGTGTCCCGGGGCCAGTGCCGGTGGGGCCCAGAGCAGGGTGCCAGGAGCGCGGGGTCCCAGCTGGCAGGGGCTCTATGGAGCTGGGCCAGATCCCCCCTCTCTCTGCTGGTACAGCCCAGTCCGGTTTCACAGACCCATGCCAGCCTGTGCCCCGCTTTGGGCCCCATTGGTGCTGGCCCTGGGACACTGGTCTCAAGACATGGGGACATTGGTCTCAAGATGGTAACCAGGGGGCGGGGCACCTGTCAAGGGGCGGGGCTACCCATGAGGCTCTCAACAGCCTGCCGAAACTGGGTAAGTGGCCCTCCGTCCAAAATAATTGCCCGCTCCTGTCTTAGAGCCTTAACTGCTATCTGTCCTCAGTCCAGCCTGCTCTAATGCTTGGAGGTGAGGAAAACAAGCCTCTCTCTTGAGGAGTTCTGTTCACACTCTTGCTTTCCAACCCTTCCCTTGGTTTTCCTCTCTCTCTCCAGGGAAATTCAATGTTTCTAAACGCACTGTCTTCTGCAGGCAGAAGCAAGGGGCATAGAGAAACCCTTGTACTTCCAACGGAAACAAGTACTTCATTAAAGACCCAGCAGCAGTGCTCCTACTGAATATCATTCATCTTGAATTCTAACACTCCTCAAGCTCAAAAGCTTCAGTGTACAGCACATGCTGGCTGCCTACTTACCCAGAAATAATCACAGTAGCTCCATTCAGAGGGTTTCAGCAACTGTTGTTCTGGCATTGTGTCCGGATGGGGAAAAGTGACACAATTTATCTGCAGAAATCCAGGAAAAGGCAGTTAGAAAGCAACAAATGCTTGTAGATTTAGCCACGGATAAGCATATACGTAATAAATTATGCATCTATAAATCAGTAAGCCTAGCTGACATGCATCTTTGTGTAGGAGAATTATTTGGTGAACTCTGAAACATAGACAACTGGTTTTCAATCTTTTTTGATCCCATGGCACATCTCCTGTTCCCTATACAGCCACAGCCCAACCCTCTCCTTATTCCCATGCACAGTCTCACTTGCCCCCAGACCTCTAACACCACTCATAGATGGCCTCATAGCCTATCCCATAGTTCTCTTGGCCAGGCATGCTGCAGAGGCACCTGAGCTAGCTTTACACACTCTAGTTCTGGAACAGAAGCAGAATAACCATGTTTTCACAAAGCTGTGCTTGTGCAATTACTGCAGCTTCTCACCCTGAAAAGCCATTGAGAGCATGAACTAGCAACAGCTTGATGAGAAGCAAATAAGACACCAATTTACTGAAGAAAGATGAGCAATTTTGCCAGCTATCATCCAAGGAGTTTTACTGTCCCCCTTTGGTAATCATGGAACAAAGACTACCACAAAAAAAAAATAAATCTGCAAACATGTAACAGAACAGCAACAGGTGGTACTGAAAATATTACAATATTACAAACAGCATGTTAAACAAGGCAATCTTCTGACAGAATTACAAAAATAATTATAGAGGTGGGTAGCCATGTTAGTCTAAAGTCAGGTAGAAGGTAGAGCAGGGTGGCAGCTTAAAGACAAAATGGTTCAGAGATGTCTGAGCTTTCACAGGCAGCAGCCTACTTTATCAGATGTTACAAGTGGACTGGCAGAAAGAAAGAAAGGAAAGGGAACTGCCATGAGAGGTAATAAGCAAGTCAATTAGATCAACAGGGATGAACAAGGTAGTTAGCATCTGGAGGGACCCAACAGTTAACAGCTAGTCCAGGAATAAGAAACCACAATCCCTGTTGAAACTATGATCAATACAAATTATTTACTACAACTGCTATGCATAAATCTTCAAATGAATATCCTGAACCTGCAAATGTTCTGAATTGTGGCTGAACTGTGCCTGTGAATAATTAAATGGGCTTCCTACAGGCATAGGTACCCACAGACAACATTTTGCAAGTTGATGACCGTTATATAGGAATTGGCAGCTACTAAATGAAGTGGAAAGGAAGGAAATATATTACAGTAATAAAGCTGTATAACTACTAAGGTTTGTCTACATTTGGAATTTTTTTTGGATTAGGGTAGGGTGTGAATCTAATTTATTCCAGAATAACCCCAGCTGTAGACAGGCCCTTAGTATTGACTGATGACTTGATTAATCAGCAGGGGGGGTGGGGGGGGTGTGGTGCGGCAGCGCCGAGGAGTTATGCAACAGAGAATATTAAAATCTTTTGAATATCAAAAGCTTTTGATAGTAAGCAGTGCTCTCCTAACATATTCTCTCTCTGCACAACCACGACAGAAGAAATTCTTCTTAATCCACAAATCCACTGTGCAGGCTCTTGGATCAAACAGAAAATCAAAATGTTCAGGATTCAAGGTTCATAGGATCATAGGAAAGTAGGACTGAAAGGGACCTCATGAGGTCATGCGCTCCAGCCACCTGCTCATGGCGAGATCACCCTGACTAAACCAACTCAGCCAAGGGTCTGTCCAACCTGTTCTTGAACATTTCCAGGGATAGAGATTCCACAACTTCTCTGGGTGGCCTGTTCCAATGCTTGCCCCAGTCAGAAAGTGCTTCCTAATTTCCAACCTAAACTTCCTCTGATGCAGTTTGAGACCACTGTTCCTGATCTTGTCCCCTATAGCCACAGAGTTAAAACAAAGTCTAATTTTCATCTTTATAAATCTCCCTTGAGGTACTACAAGACTTTTGGATACCCGTGTTCACAGATTAAAGCAGTGTGAAAGTGTAATATTGAGCTCTAAGTGGCAGCTTTTACAGACCTCTGGGATGGAACTAATGGAAGGGTAAGCCTAACTAGTAACTTCATAAAGCCACAGAAACTGGAAAAAGAACTGTTCATGCAATGTTAATGCTACCCTCTTTTGTATATGCATTATGAAGCCACTGTCCATTTTTTTTGTCCATTGTTTAATGTATGGTTCCAAGCTTTATTTCCTGCCTATAACCAAGTCTCTTAAATATTTTATCTCCTCATTAACTTTTCTATAGCACTAATCATGAAAGTATCCAACTCCATGAACATTAATGAATGCATCTTTCACAGCACTTCCGCGGTGTAGGGAGATATTAATACTCTCAATTTACAGATGGGGGAACCAAGACATAAAAAGCCTGCAGCCAAAATTTATGAAAATACCCATTGATTTTGGATTCCTCAATGACTAAGTGCCAGTTTGAAATGCCTGACACTTGTTTGTTTCCAAATTGCTGAGTACTCACAGCTGCAGCTAAAGTCACTGTGAGCTGGTGAGTATTTGGAACTTCTCCAAATCAGCTCTCAGAGCTTCATTTGGGGTATTGAGATGAGAAACTCACAATTAGCAGCCAATTGCTTAAGCCTGGTTTTAAACAAGCTTGCCCAGCATTACAATGCAAGCTCTGATTTAAATGGGACATATTTCTCCAGAAAAAAAGAACAAAAAAGCCGGTGATCATATATTTAAATTATCAAAATGGAAAACAGAAAGAAGAAGAATTAATTCTGCCTGGGCAGTCTTTATTGAAGTATTTCTTAACTTTTCAGTACTTTAGTTTGCCATCACAGAACCACAGTATTCATATGGAGCACCACTAACTTCCACAGGACACTGACAATGCATGTACACATTTACACATAAACAGAGAGACCCAATTCCAGGATCAAAGACTTGCTGGGCACCTATGCAAGTACATGATGCCTGCTCCAACACATGCTAATTAGCACAGCGCAGCAGACTTGGTTAATTGAGTTAGCATGCTCCAGGAGCCATAATATGTATTCATCGACCCTGCACTTCAAAATGGGGGTGGGGATGCTTTAATTAAAGCTCGTTTGAGCTTTAGTTAGTGTATGCTCATTTGACCAGCTTTAGTTAAAGTGCACCCGCCACCATTTTGAAGTGTGGGATGCCGAATACACGAGATGCTGCAGGCACTTTAATTAGAGCGGCTCCCAAGAGCTGCTCTAATTAAAGTGCTTCCACCCCCACCCCGCTGTTTCTTCACGTGATTTTTGGTATGACATTTTCAATGTATTTGGGGAAAACGGCCAGAGAAATTTTGTACAAGTGATTTTACAGCTGTAGAATGTTGAGAATCAGGATTCCTGCAAACGGTTAATGGTTTGAGGCAGAACTGTCCAAATAGTGACCTGTAAGGGGCTAATTTCCAACTTCCAGGCTCTCAACCACCTGCCCCTATTACTCTGCCTGCAATAGTAGCCGGAGTCTCCAGGCTTCCCTCTCCTTTCTCCAGCTGCTGCTTCCTGCCTTCACACCAGAGGGCAGGGCAGTGTGGGGACCTGAAGATGAGTCCAGGGGTGGTATCATGCCCTGGTTTGAAGTTTTTAAGACACACAAGTCAGATATCTGGTTTATTTTATTAGTCTGGGGATGGAGCTCCTTTGCCTGGAGACGAGGTGTGCCTGACACTTGTTTGAATACTAGTGCACAGTAAAGATTTGTTGGGCTGTAGAGATGTGAAAAAGGGAGGACTCTGAACTGCAACAAAGCATTGGTATTTCAGATAGAAAGGTTAGATATTTATAGGGAAATAAGCATCCAGCATGTTGAGATATATTAGCTTTCTATTAGAGATTAAATAAATCTCTGCTAATATGACCATCTTGAATTGGAGTTTAAAGATGCATCCATTGAAGCTTCAAGTCCAGGATTGGTCTCCACACTCCTTTTCCTTCTGGGATCAGAAAGCATGGACTGAAGAACCCCTTCTCTCTTAGGTAGGCCAGAATGCATTCCACCACCCTGAAAGAGATGGTGATGACCCCTCCTGTTGAAGAAGGCTGCCAGGAGAATGGTCCTTGAAAAGGGTCAGGAGGGAACAAAGGGAAACTCAAAAAGAGAGCCATTTCTAATTGTGTCTGTGACAAGCAAGGGTGGGGAAGGGTCTCGTCTTGGATTTGTGTCAACACAGTAACACTCTTGTCTCCTCTCTTCTTCCGTGATTGGCAGTGTTGACTCCAATGTGTGGGCATGTTCTGCATGAGATGGTTAGAAAGGAGCTGTCTTGGGACTTGCCCACCAGGAACATCCATGCCTTGATATTGTATTCCTTCCTTATTTTACCATTCTGCTTTTGAATGACTGGTAAATATTGTACTCATCAGTCACATGAGACTCCCCAAGGCAATGTAAATAATGATAATCAGAGGCAGCCTGTGATTTGGGAGAAGGTATCAGATGGCAAATAAGACCAGAACCAGATGGCTCTTATGTCAAAGCAGTCATTCTGAAAGTGCTAGCAACACTTTCAGAAAGCTGGCCAACAGGACTCTTCTAGAGAAAAGGCCAAGAAATAGCTTGTAGATGCATGTTGTTTAGGCCTTATGAGCTGGCAAATGTTGGGTCCTACAATTAATTTGACTTGCACTAAGTAGGAGATATTTTGGATAAATTATGGAATTCTCCAACAAATTTGCAAAAAGCCAAATGGAAATACCTTGTTTTTTCCGTGGACAAGGAGGGAAAGAACTACTGTCCTGGTTTAATATTTAGGGCAGAACCCCATTTCACTTTATAGCCTCAAACAGCGTTTTTCTGCTCTGACATATTTTGAAACTTACATACAGGTTGTGATCTTATTCTACATGCAGTGTGGAAGTATAGTAAGTAATATGTTGCAGGCTACATGCTGGCTGGCCAGGTAAGCCTGCCTCAATGGTTAAAGGGAATCCACTAACTGTATACCAATTAAATATTTGGAACAAAGGATGAAAAACTAAGAACAGGAGTGCAGGTCAAAGGAGTTCCAAGGAGGGACACCAAGCAGAGAACACCAGCTAG